TTTGGATTTGGGGCATTTCATTGAGAGGGAACAGTTTCTAGGGGATTGGGTACTGAGTGAAGGACAGATGACCTGAATTAGTCCTCAGTTTCTCTACTGACTGAACTCCCAGATGACCCTGGGAAAATTAATTCAACTTTGATATCTGCCCTTTGCCTGTCTCATTGCAGTCTTAGGTGCAGACATGGGAGATAACATAAAACAAAGTTTAATGAGCTTCCTTGTGAAATGCAAAAACGTAAAGGCAAGATACTCTGGGACCCCTTATATCAAACTAGTGTCAGAAGCATGACCAACACCCATGAAATAAGACTCATCTTCGTGTCAGGCTTTTATTGCATCTGCAAGGCCTGGATGGAGAGTGAGTTTACAATTTTAATTAGTATTGTATTGTATTATGGTACCCACAGTGCATCTCTTAGCTGTTTGGGTGTTTCCTCCAGTGATGCACATCATAGCCCCCACACAGATCTCTCCCCATTGCAGTCCATCCTCCACTCAGCTGTCAAAGTGATCTTCTAAAGGGCAGGTCTGACCATGTCATGCACACACTCTGTCCCACTCAGTAAACTCTGGTGACCCTCTCACACCTGGAGGATCAAATATTAAATACCCTGTTATTCCAAGTCCTTTATAACCTGTCCCCCCACCTTTCCAATCTTCTTACACCTTCAGCTTATACCTTAATTCAACCCCCAACACCCACGTATTCTGTAATCCGGTAATGCTATTCTCCTTGCTGTTTCTTGTACAAGATACATCTCCTAACTCCAGACATTTTTGCTGGCTGTCCCCATACCTGGAATTCTCTTCCTTCCATCTGTCTCTTGTCTGTCTTCCTTTGAGTCTCAACTTAAATACCACCTCCTTATAAGAAGCCTTTCCTGATCTTCCTTGATACTAGAGCTTTCCCTCTGTTGATTGTCTACAATTTATCCTGTCTGTATTTTGTTTGTTTATAATTGTTTGCATGTCTTATTAGATTGTAAGCGCCTTGAGAGCAGGAATTGTCTTCTCCCTTTTTTTTGGTATCCTCAATGCCTGACACATAGTAGACTCTTAAAAAATGTTTATTGACTGACTGACTGATTCATATCTTTCCATAAGCTTGCTACAGGAGGTCCACTCCTGTCCTTGGGGATCTTTCTTGTGAAACTCATTTCTTGGCAGTCATTCTGTTGGTAGCATAGTATTTTGTTGGGTCTTTGGAACTTTGAGTCCTGATACATCCTTAGTTAAAAATGGCTATTTCCCTAGACACTTTGAAATGAGGTTATTAATTAAAATTCCATTTCTTTAGACTGGTGAAGTAAATGCTGTAGTTCTATTTTTATGCTTAAAAACATCCAGGGTTGGTGATTTCAGCATTGAAAGCGCTCCCTCCCCTTGCAAATCATGGTTCCTAGATGGACTTTGGGTATACTGTGCCCAAAAAATGCAATTCCATGGAGCCAGAGTGGAGAGGAGCCTCTGAAATTAGAAAGGCTATCCAAAACAGAGACAAAAAGACATCTCTTCCAAGTCTTTTACAGGGAATTCACAGGGAATCTCTGAGGAGGAGGTTCATTTGCAAAGGAGGGGCATGTTTTTACTGCAGAAATTTATCAGCTCTTTGACCTTTTGGAGGGAATATTTTCAGGCAAGTGAAGTTGCATGTGAATTTTTTAAAGAGGAATACAGGAGCATCATGTATGTGTCCTACTTAGTCGTCATTAGAAAGTTTATGCCAACTTGCAACAAATTTTGGTTTCTGTTGGGACGTTACATTATTAAAATAGCAACACATTATTTAAAAACTTGTAATGCAGTTTCTTAAAAGCACTTTGTAAACCTACTTTTGAATAAACTCCAGATGCATGGAAAACGCATGATTTGGCCCAGGATCTTCTGCAAGCTAAGAATGGTTTTTACATTTTTATATTGTGTACTCCTTGAGGGCAGGGACTGTCTTTTGCCTCTTTTTGTATCCCCTGCATTTAGCACAGTGCCTGGCACATAGTAGGGCCTTAATAAGTATTTATTGTGATTGGCTGATTAAAAACTATTTGCCAACCTCTGATCTAATCCTTTTCCTTTGTTTCTGTCAACAAGGGAGAGTTGTAGCAGCAGGGGATAGTAGAAAGAACATTGAATTTGGTGTTTGGCTATCTGACTTCAAAACCTGGCTTTAATGGTTACTCATGGTATGATCACAAGCCAATTATTTAATCTCTCAGAGCTTCACTGTCCTCATTTGTAAAATTCAAATATTCACACTTCTTGTATTCTGTACTACATAGGATTGTTTTAATAGGCACTTTCTAAATGTTGGAATTCTTCTTCTTACTACAATTATTATTATTATTATTATTGATTATTTAATGCCAAATTAGCTTCCATCAGTGGTACAAGTTGGAATTTGGGGGTATATTCTTACCTGATGCTTCAATATTTTCCAAGTTAGGGAGCTAATTTAGAAAACCTAGTTCATTTAAAGAGAAATTTGTGTTTAGTCCTTGCAAGGGTCCCTATTCCCTCTGGCAAAATATCTTAGTATAACTCTTCTTAAGTGCCTACCATGTGTCAGGCACTGAGCTAAACATTGGGGATACCAAGAAAGGTGAAAACAGCCCCTACCTTCAAGGAGCTCGCAGTCTCATGGATTAACTGTGGGTCCTCTCATCTCTGCCTATCAATTTACCCATGATCCTTGTAGTTATTGAAGATGAATTGATTGATGGGAAACAAAGGCAAAGGATGTGTCTACATTTTTTTATATTACTGAACTAGTAAGCTTCATAGATCTGCTTTATTCAACCTTTCCAGAGGAGAGCTGACTTCTGCTTATAGGTCAAATATGAAATCCCAGTCACTTTTTTTTTTCTTCCTCTCAGTTTCATCTTTGCCTTTTTGTGTTTACTTGCTCAGAGGCATGCTCCCCTGAAGCAGGTCAGCTCAGAGGAGGAACCCTGGTCTGGCCCAAAGGTCATCCAGAGTGGGAGCCACCATTTACTTTCATTGGTGTGGTTTGATTTCTCCCATAATTGATGCCTTCTTTTCCTTTTCCTCCCTGTGTGGGAGTCATCTATAGGAAAAATAATCCCTATCATAATTCAGTGCATGATCCATGGTGCTATTTAAGCCTGTGCCTTTTATGCGTCCTCTTTACAGAACCTTGATGGCAGGAAACAATCCCTTGATGAGGAGAGGGAGGAAAGGAGCCAAATTTCAGAGCTCCCCCTCCCACAGGGAAAGTGCCTTTGTTAAATGTGTCTTCCTGTATTAAGGGTGACAACATTTCAAAAGAGAGCTGATTGTTCTCAGGCAGTGGAACAAAAGACAAAGCAAGTGAGGGAGAGAGGGAGAAGGTGGGGGCTTCACTGAAGTAGAAAGTAATGAAAATGAGCCAGGGAGCAGGACTGGGGGAAAAATAGGAGAACGACTGGCCAACAAGGTGACTGTGAAGAACCTTTGAGAAATTTACATTTTGTGGTTGTTTTTTCCCCACACCCTCATGTTCCACTCTAGCTGGGTGGGGGCAAAGGTGGTGTTAGGGCATGTCCACTGTGGATTGAGGTGGGCGTTGAGAAGAGAAGGTAAAAAAATCAACCCCCACCCAAAAGCTGGAAGTGGTGATCCTTTGAGGAAAGGAGTAGTTTGAACGTAGAGAAGGAATTAAAAGGGGAGGTCAATCACATGTTCACTAAGGGGCAAAGTGATGATGCTGGGTAAACTAGCCAGACTGAAAGGCTAAGTAACATCTGTACTATCTTGTGGGTAAAACTGTTGGTGCCAAAAAAAACCTATACCAGAACCAGAAAGTTTGGGAACCAAGAAGGTTTATTAAGTTCACCAGCAAGGGAGCCCTTGTTGGTTCTGAAACTTTCTGGTTCTGGTATTGGTTTGCTTGCCACTGACTCTTTTACCCACAATTCTTTGTTTGATTCTGTGGTCCTAGAACGACTGGACTATGAGAAAACATGTGCTAAAAAAAGTTCAGCGACTCTGAAGCAATCATTTGGTGACCTGGAAACTTTCCATTTTAAACTAGCTCTGGATGTGGGGATTTTACTTTATTTCTTTCCACAACAAATTAATTAATTAATTAATTTTTGATTTTCAGCATGGGATGTGTTTCTAATGGAGAGTGAGAGGCAGTACTAGTATTGCTTGGGAAGTCAGCCCCTCTGGTGGTAGAGAATTACCTGTACTGGGCAGAAGCAGATCCTAACAGACCATCAAATGTTGACATGCCTCCTAATTTCTTTACATAAGTTAGGAGACTAGGATGGAACATTTGGAAATTCTGCTCTAGATGTTCAGGAAAGCGCCCGTTCTCTATATTGAGTCATGCCTATAATACTTTGTTATATTGAATCCAAGCTTGAATATACAAACATGCACATGAATGTATATGTCAATGTGTATGTTTATGTATATGCATATATTTGTGTATATATACATGCGTATGTCTTTGCCTATGTGCATGTATTATGTGTGCGCACACACATATCATATACCTTTCGGTAAATCACAGCTCTTCATTCTGGTATATAGATTGCAACTGCTTTATTACTATATAGGCATTCCAATAAATTTCATTCGACTGGCTTCTGCCAAACACATATTTCTTGTCTACTCAGCCACAGCAGGGAGATAGTAATGGTGTTAATCTAAATAAAGTTCCCTAACCCTCCTAAAAAAAAAACAGATTGATTTAATATTTGTTGGTATTTTCCTTACAAACAGCAAAGACTAAACTTTGACCCTCCATAGTAATCAGAATCAAATGCTAATTATTGGTTTAGTATAGATTGACCCATTTCGATGATAGATGAGGTGATTATTTGACTATTTTCAAATAAGCTACCATATTTTGGAAGGAATATGCTTATTAGGATTTTCATGCTTCAGGAAAGGCTTAAAAGATGGGGAGCAGTGATGTCTGTGTAATTTGTCGGGGTAATATAATCATTTTATTCTCGTTCTTATTCAGATAATTTTCTGCCTTTCCTTTCTAGGTTTGGGAAAAGTTTCTAAGCTCTGAAAAGCCACGGATCAATGTTTTCATGGCAGTGCCTACCATTTATTCCAAATTGATGGATTATTATGATAAACATTTTACCCAGCCTCACGTCCAGGATTTTATACGTGCAGTCTGTAAAGAGAAAATCAGGTAACTGAAGGACCCAGAAAGTCTTAAGGCTTAAGGAAGAGATGAATGGAATCAATTCTAGGATCAGAAAGCTTGCGTTTGAGTCCATGCTCTGCCAATAAGTAACTGGAGGACCTCGGAGCAGTTGCCCAGCTTCTCTGGGCCTCAGTTTCCCCAGTTTCCTATAAAATGATCTCTTAAATGATTTCTATGATCCTTCCATCTCTAGGCACTCTGATTCTTTGAGTGAGTCTGTAGTTTGTTTCTGAGGATCTTAATTCTGTTCTATGTTAGGAGGCTTTACTTCCCATTTACTCTAAATACAGCATATGGGGTACTCACACTCATCTGTAGGTACCTCAGAAAATTGTTCCTTGATTCAAGGTAATGCCATTCAAAAACTATAGTTCATGAGCCCCCAACCAATGTGTTTACTTTTACCAGCCAGCCAAGAGAAATTAATTTAAAATAAAAGACATTTAATCAAACCACATAGAAAATGAATTTACAGACAAAGATTCCCACATGCAAAAATGGAATATCTTTTCCCACAGGTTACAGTCAATAAACACGTATTAAGTGCCTCTTGTATTGTATTGCCAGGCACTGTGCTAAAAACTGCAGGTACAAAAATAGGCAGAAGATAGTCCCTGCCCTCAAGGAGCTAACATTCTAATGGAGCAGACAATAAGCCAATAAATACACACGCACACATACACACATATATACACACACATACATACATATACCCACGTACATATTATATATATATATATATATATATATATATATATATACACACACACACCCATATATAATATATGGAAATAATTAACAGAGGGAAGGTATTAGAATTAAAGGGCGTAGGGAAAGGCTTCCTGTAGAAGGTGAGATTTTAGATGGGACTTGAAGGAAGCCAGGAGGTGGAGATGATGAGGGAAAGCATTCTAGGCATGGGGGACAGTCAGAGAAAATGACCAGAACCGGGAGATGGACTGTCTGGTTCCTGGAAAAGCAGCAAGGCCAGTGTCACTGTAGCAGAGAGTAAGGTCTAAGAAGATTGGAATGGTAGGAGGAGATTAGGCAATGAAGGGCTTTGAATGCCAAACAGAGGATTTTGTATTTGATCCTGGAGGTGATTGGAAGCCACTGGAGTTTATGACATGATCAGACCTACACTTTAGGAAGGTCACTTTACTGGCCAGATGTAGGATGGATTGGAGTGGGGAGAGGCTTGAGGCAGGCAGACTCACCAGCTATTACAAGAGTCCAGGCATGAGGTGATGAGCACCTGTACCACGTTAGGGACAGTGTCAGAGGAGAGAATGGGGTGTGTTTGAGAGATGCCACAAATGTGAAATTGACAGGCCTTGGCAACAGCTTGGATGTGGGAGGTGAGAGATCGTGGGGAGTCCAAGATGACCCTAGGTTGTGAGTCTGAGGGACTGGGAGGATGGTATTGCCCTCTACAATAATAGAAAAGGTAGCAGAAGGGCAGAGTTTAGGGGAAAAGATGATAAGTTCTCTTTTTGATGTGTTTGGTTTAAGATGTCTATTAGACATTGGGTTTGAGATGTCTGAAATGCAGTTGGAGATGTGAGATTGGAGGTCAGCAGAGAGTTTAGGGCCAGACAGGTAGATTTGAGAATCATCAGGGTAAAGATGGTAATTAAATCCATGGGAGCTGGTGAGATCACCAAATGAAGTAGTATGAAGGGAGAAGAGAAGAGGGCCCAGGACAGAACTCTGTGGAACACCTACAGTTAAGGAGCTAGTGTCCACTAGTTGGAGGAGACACATTCAGAGAGCACAGATGACCAGGTAATACACATGGAGAGAATATATTTAAGGAACACCTGTGACCAGGTCACATTCATTAAGGAATCCATGCATGGCTCAAACAACTCATAATTTCACTATTGTAGGCCTTCTGCCCTCCTGTGATGATGTCATTATGCTATTTTCTGCTACTTTCTGCTTAAAGTCACATCTCTTCTCTAGGTGTATTGTCTTCTCTGCGTGTTACTTCAGTGGTCTAATTATAGCCAAGTTTTTTGTTTTTGTTTTTTTTGCTGCCATCTTCTGGGCTTTACCTTTTCAGGGTCAGATACTGGTCATCTCTTCTCTCATTTACTAAGGTATAAAAGGACTAGAAAACCTCTTCCTGACAAAGCTAGGCTGACAAACCTTTAGTCTATAAGATAGGCTACAAATCACCACACCCAGCTAAGGATGACTGGTCAAATACCAGCCAGTATGCCCTCAGGCTAAGATTAAATCTATTCTTTTGATTGCCTGTGTCTGGTGCTGGGTTTTTTTTTGTTTTGTTTTGTTTTTTAGGCAATTGGGATTAAGTGACTTGCCCAGGGTCACCCAGCTGGTGCTGTTTTAAAGTCCAATTTCTCAGACACTTGACACTTACTAGCTGTGTAAACCTGGGCAAGTCACTTAACCCCAATTGCCTCACAAAAAAAAAAAAGCAAATAAATAAAGTCCAATTTCCCAGATGAACCATCTGAATTAAGGTTAGCAGTTTTTTGTAAATCTTACTTAATGCTCAAAAAAAATTTATATCAAGGGACTTTGCTAAAGTGAACCCATAGGAGCTATGTTGAGGCTAGGGCTCTGAAGTCTTTTTTACCCTCTAGATACTCTCCAATTCAATAGGCAAATGAATGTAAGCAAGGACAGAAGCTTAGCAAAGAAGGCAAGGTCATTGTCCCCTACCCTCTTAGCCCATATTCCTGCCTTTATTATGGAAATCTGCCAACCAAAAGCTTTCTGGATTTGGTGCTGGTTTATTGCCAATTCAAAAACTACTTTTTTAAAAAAAAATTAGTTTTCTGGTAGAATTTTGTGGAAAGTTGATTGAATTAGTGAGAAAGGATGGTGATTTGGTTTACCTATCCTATTTTTTTTTCTTGGCCCATCTTTAGTACTAAATCTGTTTTAGCCACTTGTCCTTTTTACATGTGTACTTAATTTATTTGCCTGTCCTAATTTCAGTCTGTTTCTGCATGAGCCAACCTTGGCTTCTATGTTGTCCTTTTCCTTTTCTACCGTTCAAACTTTCTGTCTCCTTTTTGACCTAATATTCTCTCTCCTATGGTAACCTTAAAATGCTATATAAATTATGAGAGGCAATGTGGTATAGTGAAAAGGGGAAGGGAATAAGCATTTATCAAGTACCTACCATGTTCCAGGCACTGTGCCAAGCACTTTTATAAATATGATCTCATTTGATCCTGAAAACAACCCTGAGAGGCAGGTGCTATTATTATCCCCATTTTACAGTTGAGAAAACTGAGGCAAACATGTTAAGTGACTTGCTTAGGGTCACACGGCTAGCATATGTCTGAGGCCAGATTTGAACTTGGGTCTTTCTGGCTCCAGGTCCAGCCCTCTATCCACTGAGCCACCAGCCAACTGGACACTGGAGTTGGGAGTCAGGAAAGACCTGGGTCTGATTCTCACCTCTAATCCTGATTATCTGTGAGACCATGGATAACTCACTGGGCAACATCTCTCAGAGCTTCAGTTGGTTTTCCTACTTAAAATGGAGATAATAATACCCGCAGTATGTACCTCATAGGGCCATTTTGAGATGCCACTGAGATAATGTACATAAAGTGCTTTGTAAGAGTTAAAACACTATTCAATTATCATTATTATAAATGTTAAGTTCTAATTATTCCTTCTCCTCTCCCCTTATGACATCACCTCCAGGTCAAGGTAGTTTACAGGATCCTTGTGTCATGTTTACTGCTTAAGGACTGCCCTCTACTCTCTTCTGTATTGAAATTGTAGAATTTTGTATGTCTGATATAGAGCAAATTTTTTCTTGGAGGGGTGAAGAGGTGGAGAGAATGGAGTCTTCTTAAACCCAGTAATAAGATTTTTGAAAATCTAAACCCCTGGCAGTGCCTGCTTATCTAAATTACCAGCGCATTTATGTAGACATCTGTGTTCTATTTCATACAGCTGAACTGGCGACTTTGGAAAGGCCAAGGTAGTAGATGGATAGTTTGACCCTCGTTTTAGAGTTAAATTTGGAATTGACCAAAAGAAATTCATTTGCCTTTGCTCCAGTTTTCCAGTTCCTTAGCTCTTTATTTTGTAGGGATATTTCGGTGAAAATAGAACCCTTGTTTCTGACACTCCCTGCTGCTTCTCACTTCCCTGAACTTGGTCTCCTGTGTGACACACAGGCATTGTATAGCTATCAATTGAGATGTCAGATGTCCTGGGCCAGAGATTTGAATGGGAAATAGGGAGCAGGTCCAACTGAAATCTGAATAACCAAAAATAGAAATCAGATCAATGGAAAGGGAAGCAATAAAGGTGATACTGGAACATATTCTAAATCCTCACTAATTTATACTAGTTGGAGAAAGCCAATCGGAATTATAGATTTTGTTTAAGGAAATGCAGTACTTAGTACTTGCAAGTTCCAGCAGTCCTAGGAGAAATAGCTAAATAAGCATTCTCTAGTGGAGTTTCTGTTGGACCTACTTTAAAGAATTAAGAATTAAGATTGAGAATCAGGAATGATTTGTAGTTAGTATATTTAAGCAATCATTTGTAATTAGTACATGCAAATGGGTGCTCCTGAAAATAATTTGCTCTTATGAGCTGGCTAAACAGGCCCCTTTCCTTCTTGTTTACACTCTTATAATCTGCAGAATAAACCTTTTAAGAAAAAAAAACACTAAACAAAACCATACCAAGGTAAACTCCAGGCCAACCAACAAGCTTGATCATGAATTTTAAAATGGTCAGGTACAAATTAATGAGGCCATCTGTGTGTTTTGTTGCACTTGGAAGGGATTGTCGACTCTTTAAAATCTTGAATGTGTTTTTGATGAGGAGTATCAAGATCTCTTAGGGTTTAAGTACTTCTTCTCTCCCCTTTGGTTCTCATCGCTTAGGTTAATGGTGTCAGGATCCGCCGCTCTACCAGTGCCAGTCCTTGAGAGGTGGAAGAAGCTCACGGGGCACACTTTGCTAGAGAGATATGGAATGACAGAGATTGGAATGGCACTGTCTAATCCCCTGAAGGGCATTCGTGTCCCAGGTATGACAACTATGAAGCCACGGAAGGCTCTTTCTGTTTGATTTTTCATCCTCTTCTTTATGTGACGTGGACTTTCCCCCACTCAAGTTGGTTGGCTGCCGTGAAAACAGAACTAGTAAGGTGTTCCAGTTATTAGACTGCAGCTAGAAGTAAAAGTAACACATGGCAAGATGGTGGACCTGCCCGCCAGGTTCTGACTTTGCTTCCCTCAGGAGCCCAAGGTTTGTGTTGCCATGACACCAGAGGAGAGATGAGCCATCTGTCAAATGTTCTTGCTCTACTTCTTTTTCCCCTAGGAGCCTGTAGTGGTAATATTGATGATTGGGTGGAGAGGTGCCCCTTGTACCAATGGTCTTTCTGTGCTTCTAGAAAGGAACAGAGGAATGGAGTGAATAGTGGCCATTGCAGCCCTATATGTCACAGCCTTTCTAAGGTTCATATTGCCTGGTAGCCCTGGGACTGAACCTAAAACCTGGGTTGGTTTGGATCATATGACAATGGTGGACCTTACTCCTTCACTGGAATTCTAGCTGTTGCTGTCCTGAGTAAGAAGTCAATGGCAGCAGCATCATGGTTGTTGTAATAAGTCCAGGAGGCAGTATTTCTCTTGATAATAAATCTCATGTGCCTCATCTGCTTCCTATTCTAGATCTTTTACTTTTGCTCCATGTTTTTGTCCTGAATTCTTGGCAAGCACAAACTACACATTGTTTTCACTGCTTTCTTTGACCTGTGAATTCTGAGCTACAGGGGTTTGGACTGGACCCAGAAGCCAAGAAACAGCCTTGATTTGTTCTTTCTGAGCCATTGTGAATACCTGGATCTTAGCCTTGTGTGGGTCCCTGACTTTGTCTCTCAAGATTCTAATCCTAGACATGATCAAGTTGCATGTTTCTTATCTATATTGTTTATTTCATGTGCCTAAAGCCTTAGATGTTGAGTCTGAATACAATTGAATTTGGGTTGTGCTAATAATTTTTCCTGTTCCTTACTTGAAGTTAAGGCCTCTCGAAACTCTTCTTTGTAGATTTATGCAAATCGACCAATAGGATTCACCTTTCACTTTTTTCTTTAACCTGAGAGCCCTGCCACTTTTCTTCTGGACACAGTTGTAAGACCAGTTAAGATTATGACAAGTTAGCAGTTAGACCATTGTCAAATTCTTGAGTCCATAGTTGGAAGAATGCATTAGTTCACCTTTTCCATTCCAGAAGTTTAATTCTGTTAATTTCATAGTTTATAAACTAAAAACATGGTATACGTTATTGTGTTGACTGTTGCCTAATTTTCTAAAAACGTTTTATATGGCAGTGTGTTGACTGTTGCCTGGTTTTCTAAAAACACAATATACAGCATGTGTTGACTACTGCCTAATTCTTTTGTTTAAAGAGCTTTGTGTTGGAAGGTGAGAAGCAGTATGACCTAGCAGATAGAGGGCCAGTTTGGAGTTAGTAAGACCTGGGTTCGAACCGTATTAGCTTTCAGATCATGGACAAATCACAGCTTCTCAGTGCTCCAGACATCTAAGACTCCAAATTCCAAAAGAGTTACCATACCGGGAGCTATCTACATTGGCCAAAATCGTTATGAGGTTTTTTGGGGGAAAGTTGAAAAGCACTCCCTTGCCCAAGGAAAAGATTGGACAAAACAATCGAAAAGAACTTTTCCCTTTTGAAATCTTTCTACCAGTAATATTTTAAAAAGACCCTTGTGGGAAATATTTCTTGCTCTGCTAAGTCAGTTGCCTCTGCTTAAATGTTTTTCTCTGTAACAAGGGGCAGTTCAGTGATGGAATAATTTAAAGAGGAATGATATGTAAAAATAACAGCAACAAAACTTTGCAAAGAGAGACAGAGAGACAGACATTTCCTTTCTGAGGACTGTTACCTCTTCAGTCCCACAGGCTCTGGGAACAACAGACCAAGGTTAATTTGAACAGTTTCTTCAAGAGTTGGTCCTTGCACTTAATTCTATAGGAATGGAACATATTTATTTTCCTAAGAAAATTATACTCATCCCTTCTAACACATAGTCCTCAACTGTTCCAGGTCCCCATGTCTTTGCTAGCATGAAAAGAGGACTGCTTGTTTTGTAGTCAGTAAGAGCTCGGGAGAATGACTCAGCAACTGAGGTCATTGGAATGTGGGACTGTGCTGGAATTCCTTGGAAACAAGGGAGGTCGTCTGAGAGAGGGAACTATATATGCAAAGAATTTAAATTCGAGTCATTATCTGACTACTCTCATCACTTAGAAATGGAAATATGGTTGCCAATATCCATATATTTAGGCAGATCTTTATTTTATGTACCTGGTAGCTGATAGAAGGCTTCTTTGGGAGAGTGGTGACAAAGGAATGAATCTTGGTAATACTTGGGAAAACTCAGAGATGTAGAGTCAGTAAAGGGGGTGTCGAGATACGCTTGACATTTTTGTACCTCCTTTGACTCCAATTGAATAGTGCACATGAGTGCAAACACACAAACACACATTCAGTTCAGCAGTTCAGTTCAATAGATGTAGTCTTGGTATCTCATTTTTCCAGTAGTCTTTTAAAATAATAATACAGGTAACAAAATTCTTTCATCACAACCAAATGAGCCAGCTTATTTGAGAGACTAAATGATCACACTGTCATTAAGTGGTGGGGACAGGACTGAAACTCAGATCTTTTGACCCCACGTCCAGGATCTCTGAACATAAAATGTGATCTTCACCACTCTCAAATCCAGTAGATGTCATCCCTGTGTGGGTGCCTTCATGCCATTTGTGTTCGGTTTCAGATTGTCATTGTTGCTGAGTTGTTTTAGTTATATCTGACTCTTTGTGACCCTGTTTGGGGTTTTGTTAGTAAAGATACAAAATGGTTTGCCATTTCCTTCTCTGGTCATTTTACAAATGAGGAAACTGAGGCAAACTGCGTTAAATGACTTGCCCACAGTCACACAGCTAGGAAGTGTCTAAAGCCAGATTTGAACTCACAAAGATGGGTCTTCCAGACTCCAGGCCTGGAGTTCTATTCACTGTGCTACCTAGCTGTCCCTATTAGTTTCAGATAGGGATACCTATGACAATAATAGAAGACCATTGCTCTCTCTTTCTTTCTCTACACACACACAAACATACACACATGCGCGCGCGCATATATTTCATTAAATATTTCCCAATTACATGCAAAAAAATTTTAACATTCATTTTTTAAAATTTTGTGTTCCAAGTTCCTTCTCTTCTTCCACCTCTTGAGAAGGCAAACAATATGATATTGATTATACGTATGAAGTCATACAAAATGTATTTCCATATTAGCCATGTTGCAAAAGAAATCCCACAAAAAAACCCAAGAAAAATTAAAAAGTAAAAAAAAAAAGTATAGAGCCATTGCTTTGACACAATAATTCAGCCTAATTCGGTGTTTATTTATGTAGCACCAGTTACTATGTGTCTATAATTGTCGACATTGTGGAAGATACACCATGAAACAACATAACACAATACAACATAATACAATACATATTTATCAGGTGTCTGCAGAGCTCTTTGTTAGTGTGATACAAAGTGTAGAGCATTAGGCACATTGCCAGCCATCAGAGAGCTTATAGTCTGCTAGAAGGATGACCCCAAGTGAAATGATTATTCTGTGCAACTGTGTATGTGATTGTTTTAGAGAATTATGAAACAAAGTACCTTGTGACAGATCTGAGGGGAAAAGTCATTACCTCCTGAGGGAAAGAGAGAAAACTTCCTGGAAGCATCTGAGTTGAACCTTTAAGAATTGTTAGGAATTCTATGGAAGGCAACCCAATATAGTAGAAAAGGAACTAAACTGGCAGGTTTCAGACCTGGCCTCTGAATGAACGAGTCATTTGACATCTCTGAACCTCAGTGTCCTTTTCTTCTCTCGTTGATTCCAGCTGTCTCATCCTATGTACTAATGAGATACAATGTAAAACATTTTTCAAATCTTAAAGTGCTATATGATTGTTAACTATTATTATTATATTATAATGAGACGATGATAATTAGATAGCAGTATATAATCGAGTACCAGAATGTCGGATCTAGATAGTAAATCCTCCTGGAGGTTCATTTATCCATTGGTAGTTGTACAGCCATGGCGATTTATATGGCCATTGAATTTATATAGCCATCGGAACTTATGGAGCCATGGAGCTATATGCATTCACTGAGATTTATGCATCCATTTATACATAGGAATACTAATGATCAGATGCATAGGATTCAGTATCAGTTTCTTGCTGTTGCTCTTGATATTTTAGCTACTTTTTATGAGACTGTTCATGTTTCATTTGCTTTATTTCTAGAGTAGGTGGTAGTTTTATCCACAATCAAAAAAATGAGCTTTCTTTTACAAGCAGATCCAAATTCCTCACAGCCATGCCAGCTCGGTTACAGAGGTGCTCATTCATAAAGATAGACCAGCGAGTGGGAGAACCTTACTCTCGTCAGTAAGACAAATTGCTTATTTGGAGTGTCAGAACTCTACTTTATTTGTCTGGAATGATGGGAATGGGAACACTGAACAAATGCAGCCTAGAGGATGGCTGATTTCATATTAGTGAATTTGAACTTTGCCAGTATGAAATTCATGATGATTTTGGACATGGTCTGGGCTGAACTTTACATTTTTACTTATGCAAATATTTGTTGACTGATTTTCACTGTGTATCCAAAGAGCATTTTTTTAAAAGCTAAATTAAGAGGGATATTTGTCCTACCTACAAGCTTTATGTTTTATATTTTTATTTTACTACATACTTATATATAATAAGCACATTTTATTAGATATGTATATTTTATTATATACCTATATATAATAAATATATTTTAACATTTTATTTTTTAAAAATAATTTTATTGATATATTTTGTTTTTACATTACCTTCATTTCCCAACATATTATTGACTTAAAAACCACTTTATCAGCACCAATCAGCTATAAGCATTGTGTAAATCGCAGATTTCACTTACTCATTAAAGTAGG